CTTGGCCAGCGGGCCGCCCCTCCGCCCCGGCTCCCTCCCGCCAGCCCATGGAGCGCTCACTGCCTCGCTGCCCTTCCTACCCTCTTCTGTGGGCCTCTTGTCTGCGCTTGGCTCTGGAGATTCCGTTCTGCTAGTCTTCTGGCGGTTTTCTGGGTTATTTAGGCAGGTGTAGGTGGAATCTGAGTGATCAGCAGGACGCTCGCTGAGCGCAGTGTCCACCCACGCTGCCATCTTCCCCTAACTCCACGTTAGGAAAATTTTCATGATTAAAATGTATAACTTGCTTTGATGAAAATAAGTGTTAAATTATATATTTCTAAAGTTCATCATATTATTTATACTCTCTTCTTCAATATAGATTCCACTGAAAAATTCAAGCTTGAAAAACTTGGTGTATAATGCTATAATTGTTGGGAAAGATGCTGCTGACTTCTCCCTTTCCCAAACTGGGAACATTGTGACAATATCTTCAAAGTAAGTGGGTTTTTTTTTTGCTTTTTAAATTTTACTTCACTGAAAATATCAACCCTAGAGATTTAATGTGTATTATAATTTTAAAAGAGTGACCTGGTTTTGTTTTTAACTGGTTTATATATAATGAAAGATCATCACTCAAACATAGATAAATTATGTATATGTTGCTGAGATTCCTCACCAATTTTGTTAAAATAATTCTAACAACATAAAACAGTTGCTTTTAATATATGCTTTTAGTTTCAGTTTATTTTGCATGCATATAGGCCATAGAGTTTAGACTGTAAGTTGTTTATGTACTGCAGTTCTGTTCCCTGTAAGAAACTCTAACCAGTGTGTGCTAAATTTACATATATATTTATATTTATATTGTTTACTTAAGTATATTTTATATAGATTATATTATGGATAACATTTTCTATGGTTCTTTTTATGTTATCTATAGTTGTTTCTGAGTAATGTGCTCATTGCAGAAAATTTAGAAGCTACCAATGTATGAAGAACAAAAAAAGTCAAAGACTGATAATGTTACCTGAAAAACACCTTCAGTGTTGCCATTACTCTCTTTCCCTTCACTGTCATTGTGTTTATATGTATGAATGTGTGTATATGTATGTGTGTGTGTGTGTATGCACACACACACACACACTTCCAAATCGTAGTGATTTTCTTTAAAGTCTCATTTCTATCTGATTCTGTTCTCATAATGCATTTTTGAATGTTTCTACTACTACTCTCCTACTTTCTGAAATAAAGTACAAATGAAGCCCCTAGAATATAGTCTTGAAAAGTTAAATATGAGTATAATATATTACTCTTCCCAGATCAACAAATCCTATTAGATATGTCAACAGTATTAATGATAGCAAATATTCTTATTACAAAATGTAAGGATGATAAGAGACCAGCCATGTTAGTATCACAGGGGTTCACAAATTTAATAACCACTAATTGACTTAAACACCTTGAATTTTAGTCATTGCCTTTGCTTTATTATTTTTTCCCAATGCAAAGTGACAGAGTGTAACTACTAAAGTTAGTTCACCTGGTTATCTTTTTGGTTTTTAACTATACATTAACCCTGAGTTGCTTTTCACATTTTAATCATTATTATTTCTAATATATCAAACAGAAATAATTAGAAATAAGGGCCATTTTAATTGCTTTTAAAATACCCAGAAACCCAGTTGCAGAAGTGCCCCTGGCTTGTGTCATTAGCCCCTGTTTGTTTTCTTCAGTTACTGCTTCATGCTAAGGAGTATACAATTTATAAATTCTGCATATTCATGATTGGTACTATATCCAGATTGAACTGAATGTGAGGAAACAATTCTTCACTTACTTGTTTCTATATTATAAACTAAATGACTAGAATAATACTTGTAAAAACAGCCCACCCATTTTCTAAGTCCTACTTCTTACATGTCTGTTATAAAATACAACTGTAGTAATACAAGTTTATTTGAACATTGTCACAGTACCATTTTTCTTCCCTTAGGACTTTGATAATTGAGATCTATTCTCTGCCCTTCAAATAGGTTTACACAAGTGACAAGGTTTCAGGTTCCCCCACTTTTTTTTCACTCATAAACCCAATAGACTCTTCCAGTATTTCAAAGCTCTCAGGAAATTCTTCCTAACAGCCACACTAAACTTCTCATATTGTACCTTAAGATTACATTTCAATTAATGAAATTAACACTTATAGTCTTTATTATAAGTTTAAAGCCTGTACATGTTGAAAATTTGTTACAGAAAAGTATAAAGAGGAAACAACCATTACTGAGAACCCCATCAGATAAGCAGAGTTAATTTATCAGTTCATTTCTTTGTGGTCTTTTTATATGCACAAATATGTGTTTATTATAACATATGCCTGGTTAAATATTTACACAATAAACTCATTACATATGTAAATATTAAAATGCTTAATGCTTATTAAACATTTGTATGTACAAAATCTTTATAACATGTACTTTGTGTACCTTTTCATATTTAATCATCCTAATAGCCTAAGTGTCCCCATTTTCCAAAAGAAGACATTGGGCAGAGACATTAAATCATTTGCCCAATTTTCGCTGCTGTTAGATGGTCAAGTGGAGATTCAAAACCAGCCAGTCTAAATGCAGAGTTTGCATTTACTCACTTGACAACAGCACATGTTGTGTATGTGTGTGTGTGTACATGTGTGTGTGTGTGTGTGTGTGTGTGTGTATGTATCACATTCATACAGAGCATTCAATAAAATGTGGCTTTGACTGTTTGTAAGTAATCCTGAAGATCCATGGCAGGTAATTGTATCATGTTTTTGTTTCTCCAGGAGCGCGTTTGTGCAAATACTTCACTTGGGTGAAGCCAACAGGCTACTTCCTATTAACTTCTCGTCACTGTGACTTTTTTTCTCTTTATTCACCATTGCACCATTTATGGTCTATATAAATATAGACATATTTATAAATAATAGCTTTGTAAAGTTTTAATACACTCCAAGTGCACATTAACTGGCCATATATTCATGTATACCTGCTCACATATGTAATTACAAATACATCATATTTCCACCATGTTACACCTGTACTTTTGTTTTTGACTTATTTATCTTTTTTTAAATAAAAATCTCACTTATACATGTTTGACAAGTCAAATATGCAGAGGAGTTAAAAATAAAAAACAAGTCCCCCCCCACCTCAAATCTGTTTCCACTTCTTGAGCCTCCTACTTTTCACTCCTTGATTTATGTCTCATTTTAGTTCTTTCCGTGGTTACTTCCATAAATTGAAATAATCCATATTATTTTAGCCAATATATTTGTTATATCAACTTTAGAAATAATGTCTTGATGTATAGCTATAATATTTAATGATCTAGTTTGCTTACTTCTCCAGATTTATTGCCCTCCCTACAAACATCACTAGTTTTATCTTCTATTTATTACTTTTCCAAGGAGTAAAAATCTATTATATAAGTGTTTCTTATACCATCAGAATAAAAAGTATCTTTTGACTCCTTTTTTAAGCTGAGAATATTAATAAATTCTAAAGATATGCATATAATCCTTGAAGTCTCTTCCCTTCAAGTACATCTTTCAGAGTACACTGCGTGGTCCTTTTATTTGGACTGATTGCTTTCCAGACCTACTGAAGAGATGTCAATATTGGACATTTTTATTTTTCTTTGGATAGAAACTAGTACCTTTCTTATGTGCTAACTTATTTACTAAAACCATCCTTATGAAACCTAATAAAATATGGGCGAGGTAAATTTTCCAAGATTTTCCATTTTTAGGCATTTTTTTTTTTTACTACTCTCACACTTGATTTATATTTTGCTTGGCTTATTATTCTAAGTTGAAAAGATTTTTTTTTTCCTTATAAGTGTTAAGATAATTGTTCTGCTGCCTCATAGTATTCAATATTTGTGATGAGAAAGTCTACTATAATTCTCTTTCTCAACACCTCTAGAAGTTTCTAGGATCTTCTTTTCTGATTGTGTTCTGATAGTGATCCGGGGTGCATCAAGGAGGGTCTTTTTTAATTCACTGTCTGGGTATACAACAAGTCCTTTAACTATGGAGTTATCTTTAATAAGCACTAGAAAATTCTCTTTGTTTTTTTTCATAATTATTTCCCCTCGTTTTTCACAGTTCTCATTTTCTAACCGTTAACTGTTGAATATTGAACCTGTTGATTGCATCCTTTGTGTATCTTATCACTAGTATTTTTTATCTCATTGTTTTTTCCTCTCTTTATCAACAAGCCTTCTTTTCCAACTGTTTCCTTTGGGGAAGAGAATGGGAGAGAGTGAGAGAAAATGAGAATCTCCTAAATATGTATATTCATGAGTGCTTTCATTTTTATTAAGTGTCTCTATTTCATAGCATCCTGTCCTTAAATGGGGGTTCTAGTATCTTCATAAATGTCTCTGACTTTTATATACTCATCTCTGACCTATATTATTTATCTTCTTTTAGGTCAGTTGTTAATGTTTATTTTGATTTCAGTGTTTCCTATTTAAGGATTTACTCTAATGACTTGTGATACTTGTTCATCCATTTATATGTAATAATATGGCAATATAAAAATATATTGTGGTTCTATATATACACCCAAACCTTTACCGTAGTATGAAGAACATTCTGCTTTTATGCCAGATTGCCCAGCATTCTGCACTGGCCTTGAGGAGAGTGAGGTTATCTGAATCCGATCTTACCCTCCATGTAAGTGGGCATTTCTGGAAATGGCCTCTCCAGGAGTCCACAGGCCAGCTTTGTTTCCTGATCAACCTCTGTTCAGATGCTCATTGATAGCTTCCTCTAACTAGCAGCTTTTAAAAAGATCTCTTTCTTATAATTTTAATGATATTTCTCTTAGATGATAAATCTAGACTTCAGATGCCATTGTGGTCTAGAACCCTGCTGTCATGTCATTTAACAAGTGCTGGACTTTGATACTGGCATGTACAGGTTGTATGATCCAGCCTCATTATTCTTATTTGTAAAAAGGGGATCAGAATATTTAGCCACAGTTTTGTCAGTAATTAATGTAAATATATAGGCAAAACACCTAATACTGTAACTGGAACATATAGGAAGCAATGAGCATTTGCTGCCCCGCCACCTAAATTTGAAGTGCTAGTGATTCACAGATGAAAATGTGTCAACACTGCTCACAAGTGATTCAAATCTAGCAGAGTACACTACAGCAAATACACAGTAAGGATAAGGGAGGAAAAGAGAGAGAGAGAGAGAGAGAGAGAGAGAGAGAAGAGAGTGCATGAGAGGGGAGGGGCAGAGAGAGAATCTTAAGCAAGCTCCACACCCAGCTCAGAGCCCAATGTGGGGCTCGATCTCACAACCGTGAGATCATGACCTGAGGTGAAATCATGAGTACGACACTCAACCGGCTGAGCCACCCAGATACCCTGATAATTGTTTTATTCGTGTTGTGTGTATAGAATTAGAGGAAGATGAAAAAAAGTACCTAAGTGGTTTTGGGTTAGCC